CTGGCTGCGGGCGGCTCCGCGCTGCCCGGCTCGGGGTTCGCCCTGCCCCGGTGTCGCCCCCTCCCCCTCCCCCCCTTGCAAGGTCATGGTCGCCCCGGCCCTCCGGAGCGGCCCTGCTGAAGGTCACGCCTTGGCCCGGCCCGCACATGCGCCTGGCTCCGGGGAGCGGCCCCGCGGCCTCCCGCCCTGCGGAGGGGAGCGGGGCGGCCGGGCTGCGCCTCGGCCCCTTCCCGAGACCCCCCTGTCCCGGGGGTGCCGGGCAGCGCCTCGCGCCCAAGGGCTCGTCCTGCGCAGGGGGTGGGGCGGGGGCTGTGCCCTCTGCTTCCCCCCTGCCTCCCTCTGCAAGGCCCCATCCCTGCCCAGGCTGGGTGAAGGGGCGGTGCTGGGGCTGTGGGCCCCCCCAGCTTCATCCTGTGCTGGTCGGGGGGAGCTGGGTGCTGGGGTGTTCCTGGTGTTGCAGAGCAGGTTCTGAGCTCTGCCTTGCTCCCTTGCAGGGCCACGTTTGGGTGATAAGACTCGAGGGCAGAGGAGGGACAAGGTGCTGTGGGCCTTGCAGGGCAGGGGGAGTGACGCTCAGCATGTGGCTGAGTCAGGGTTGGGGCCCTGCTCTGCGGGTTGGCATAAGGGGTGTCACGTGGAGCTGCTCCCAGAGCCCCTGCGGGCGCAGGGACCCTCCCTTCCTCCCGCAGCGCAGCCGCCAGCCCTGTCACACCGGCCTGCGAAGGCCACTCTGTCTCAGCGCTTGGGCTGCAGCCATGGTGTCACCTCCTGTGAGGTGGCTGGGCCTTGGTGCCATGGGCCTGCACTGAAATGCTCCTGGCCTAAGCAACAGAGAAGAAAACCTTCAGAAAGCATTTGCCTCATGGCTGGTTATGTAATGGTGCCCTCTGAACTTGATGCATCAGGGGCATGTAAAGGCCTGACGTGCTTTAGACCTCAAGCACGCCTATAGAGACTTCCTGTGGAAGAGCTACCCCAGGAAAGTGAATTTCTGCTGCTTTCCTTTTCCTGTGTGCTGCACCCCCAGAAGCTTTTTCTGAAGGAGGATGATGTGGGTAATGAATTCAAATCTATAGGCTGTTGATTTGGCTTGTCTTAGCTGTGTTTTGCCCTGTCAGAGTGGTTTTTGGACCATAGGCTAAAACCTGCTGGCTTAAATAACAGCACAGAAGAAAACAAACTGGCTGGCAATGTTTTCCTCAGAGCTGGGATAGAGGCATGTGTTCCCTACTGGTGTCTGAGCTCAGTATCTGTCACTCCTCCTGATGTTATTAGTGTGTGCTAATAGCAGTGCTCTATTAAACATTGTATCTAAAATGTATAAATTAAGGTTGCAATTGAAGTCTTCAACAGCAGGCAGAGTAAAGAATTGAAGTATTGTAATCATTGGGTTGCAATTATGTAACTGGATTCTCTTTCTCTCTGGTTAGCAGGCTCATTTAATTGCTGTAACAAAGCTACTCCTTCAGTTTCCTGGGACTGTTCCAGGAAGCAATCATTGCAGCAGATTTTCTCCACTCCCCAGTGGAGCTAAAAATGTGTAGTTTCACTACTTGAAAACATCTTTGGCGTAGCGCGAGACTTGCAGCACTGTGGAAGAGGCTAGTAAACTTAATGGTTCCCCCGCAAGCTTAACTGGAGGCTCTCTTGGCAGCAAAGAGGCTTATTTCCAGTGTTGCTGAACTCCAGGAAGTTCTGCCAAAGTGATGGGCTGTGGTCCTTCCTGGTGCAGGTCTCACCAGCTAGTCCCCCAGATACCCTGGCCCTTGTGTGTGGGCAGTGGGTCACTCCTGGCTTCCTAAAGGACATGCAGTGCTGGTGTGCTGGTTTCCAGCACCTCTCTTCCCTCATGTGCAGAGGGAGGATAGCAAAGCCAAGGTGTTAACCTCTTCCTGCCTTCACACCTGCAGTCTGGATTTCAGTGCAAACCAGTGGTGAAGGGAGGGAATGACAGGCTGGATGTGGACATGCTCTCATTCTAGGCTGAACTAGCCACAGTAACTGCACCCTGGCATGGTCTGAGTTAAAGCACTGCTGCTGTTAGGCTTCCTGAGCCTGGGGGCTGGAGACAATGTTCGGGGCTCTCACCTGCAGTGCTCTGAGCAGCTGAGGCTGGTGCACCTGCAAGACAAACTTGGCCCCAGCTTCTTGATGCACAGGAGGGCTGTGTCTCTGCAGGTCTCGTCTCCTCCCACGCAGTAGGCTTTTCCTGCGTGTGTTAAATGCAGGTGGTGGTGCAGGGCTGTCTGGTCTAAGCTCCATGCTGTGCCAATGCTACAGTGCTCCAGCTGCAAGGAGAATCCTCCTCAGGGGCTGCCCCGTAACCTCACTTGGGCTGCAGTGGGACTTTGTAGTATCAGCTTGTGTCACAGCTCACCATAAAAAGGGCAACCTCTGATGTGCTGGAAGACTCCTCTGTCTTGGAAAGGGATTAAAGGAATCTGTTCTGCCTTAGGTTCACGATGTCTGACAGAAAGGCTGTGATCAAGAATGCGGACATGTCTGAGGACATGCAGCAGGATGCTGTAGACTGTGCTACGCAGGCCATGGAGAAGTACAACATAGAAAAGGACATTGCAGCGTACATAAAGAAGGTAACCGGGGGAAAGGGCTGCTCTGCGTGGGACTCACCAAAGCACTTTGTGTGTGTTTGTGCCTGTCATGGGTCTGAGTCTGTCTGAGGTGCCATACCTCCCTGCTTGGAGGCAAAATACACTTTCTTTGCTGCTTTACTCCTATTCCCAAGAGTATGGGGTGACTTCTGCAAGGTCAGGGAAAAACTGACAGTGAGGCTCTGAGCGAGTGGCACTACTGCTGTCCCTCTGGGTCTCCAGCCTAGGAAGTACTGGCTGCTGCTGCTGAAAGAGCCTTGCAGGAGCAGTGCAGGGGTGGGATTGCTGCAGTTCCCTCAGAAGTGGGAGTGCTGCTTGCCAGGCTGAACACAGATGTGCATGTGCAGCTCTGTCCTGCTATGCCCTGGCAGTGGTGGGTGGGCATGGGGAGGATGGTGTCCTGTGGTGGCCAGCAGGACTGTGCAAAGATGCTGCTTTAAAAGCAGTACAGGGTGTTCTGACTTGGAAGCTGCCACTTTACAGGGGGCCACTGACTTCAGTCATAGAATCATAGAATGCTTAAGATTGGAAGGGACCTCTGTATGCTTATAGTAGCTGGGGAGTTGTCCCTGTTGTGGTCAGGCAAAGTGTTTCTGGGGGAGGAAAACGTGATTATCCAGGTCACAGTCCTAGCAGCTGGGTCAGCTTTTGGGACTTGCTTGTAATGTAAGCTTGAATGCAAAGGATTCCAAGGTGTCTTATAACTTTCCAGATCACTTTAATCTGATGAGGCAAGATTTCCCTCAAAGTGCTTGGGGCAAGGCAGCCTATATAGTGAATGAATGCAGCAAAAGACTTCCAGAAGTTTAGCTTATTCCTAAGAGTGTGTGTTGGGAGGAGGGATGCAATAATGATGCACCTTTGTGCCCTGGCAAGAAAGCTTTTCCTTACTTCAAAGGTTAACTGCAAAGAACTTAAACTGTCTTGCTGCTGTCTGAGCACTAACGCTTGCTTTAATCTTTGAGTCTGTTCTTCTAGCTGTGTCAGGAGAGGGAAGGGTGTTCTTGGGAGATGTCTATCAATTAGGAAGGAAAATGGTCTTTAACCCTTTTCTTCTCCCTGACAAAAAAGACAAAGTCATTCAGCTTGCTCACCCTGACCTCTTAAGTCTTCACATGCTGTCTGGCCTATGAATTTGCCTGCATGTTCTTGCTGCAGACTCTCCTCTTCATGAAGGAGAGTCCTAAATACTAGAAGCCATACTTTTTCCTTTTTTTTAGGTGACCTTTAAGTTCAAATGCCTTGTTAGAGCAGACATGCCAGAATCTGTTTTTATTTTTTGTGAGTGGGCTTGGAATGGAAAAGGAGAAATGTTCCCTTGAGCTAGCCTACATGCATGGCTTGAATAGCACTTTACCAGGGAGAGCTCTTAAATCTGCTCTTTCTGCCTGGGGCTGGTGTGTGCAGAGTCTTGAGAGACAATTTGCTTGTGGCTGATCACTCGAACAATCCAGAGTGCAGTGCAGGGGCCTTGCTTGTCTCGAGCAGGACCTCCCTTAATACAATAGGGTCTTGCAATGGGGAATCTAAAGACGCCGCAGGTGGGAGGAGAAGCATTAGTGTATGAACAGAAGCAGCTAAGAATCTGTGCTTGAGCTATTTTCATGTGGGCTTTGTTGGCCTTAACGCCTCTATTCTCTGTTTCTTCAGGAATTTGACAAGAAATACAACCCAACTTGGCACTGCATTGTTGGCAGAAACTTTGGCAGCTATGTAACACACGAGACAAAGCACTTCATCTATTTTTACTTGGGTCAGGTTGCAATTCTTCTCTTCAAGTCTGGATAGGAAGTAGGAGCAAATGAAATTTGGACTGTAATGCACTGATGGCTGAAGCCACGACTCCCCTTAACATGGCTATGCCGCTGCATGGACTGTATACTATATTTAATGTGTATATGTTGCAGTAAAAATCTACTTCTGTTTAGTTGCCTGGGAAGAAGGCGGCATTTTTTTTTTTTGTTACTGCTTTTTTTGGTTGTATTGCACTAGGAAAACCTGTAAATGCTTAAACAATGGCCTTTACGTGGGAAGAAATAAAACTATTCCACAGCTCCCTCAGTGGTAATTCCTTCTTTGAGGCTGGGAAAACTTCTTTGGGCAGGCCAAAAAGACCCTGACTTCCTTATCAAGTTTTATTAGACTGTTATTCTTGAAATGAGGAGCAATGCCAGTGTGAGCCTCAGTACGCACCCTGCAGACTGTAGAGAGCTGGCTCTCCCAGTAGCCTCAGTGCAGGTACTTAGACCTTCCCTGAAAGTTGGTAGGGTGGCTCTTGGTAATGGGATTTTTCACCCAGAAGTTGAACTCCACCTCAGACTGTGATAAACAGCCTTGCAGCTGGCACCCTCAGATCTCTCTTCAGTGCCCACCACTGTATTTTTGGCTCTGCTGAAACACTGAGCTAGACTTGTAAGCGACTCAGCCTGGTCTACAGGACTTGAGCTTCAAGCCCCCTCGAGCTGCTGGTTGAGCAGAAAGCAGCCTGCTGGGGCCAAGGCTGTAGACTTGCTGCTGAGATCCAAGGCTGGCCCTGGGGCCCCTCCCCAAGGGACTGGGCTGTCCAGTTGGTGACTCCTGACAACAGCTTTATTTGGCGTATTCGTAGCCGGTTGTCTCAACACTGCCTTAACTCGATGCTCTCCTTAAAGCAAGCTAGTCATGTGGAAGACTTGTAAGTGGCCACTGTCTCCTTTTTTCATTTTCTGTAGCTCATAAGCTATTTCTGGAGGCAGTCCTCCATGTTCTGATACCTGCTTTTGTTCTTAAAGCACAGTACCAAGAAGTTAAATTTACATGTGATGTTTGTGTGAAGGAAACTCATGTGACATCTGCTTCAGAGGCAGAGAAAATGTCTTGGTCTCTCTTAGTATGTACTGATTCTTGGATTAAACTGCAGGAAGTTTTTTATTTTATCTGGGTGGGGGAAATCCTGAAGGACAAAAGTTGTGTGATGGCTAAGTAAATATTTGGTGCTTGCAGCGAGGTCTATTTATTGGTTTGTTGACTAATACATAGACAATCATTTGGCTGGTGAGTGTGGCTCACAGCTCTGAGGTGCTGTTGGTAACAAGCCATTGCTTTTAATCACTGCGGGGCGGGAAGGGCACAGTGAGGGAGCTACTCCTTGAGAAATGGTGACCTAGGTTGACACTTCCTGAAGTAAAAGTCCTTGTCTCTGTGCAAAATCCAAAGTATGCCTAATTTTGTAATATTGATAGAATCATGTTGTATCTAGAAAGAATGTAGTTGTCATGACTTCATGTTGATGGAAATGTCTGCACTGGGGGTAATGTGCCTTGGACTGTCGGGGCACCCTTGTGGTCTTGTCTGTTCAGAACTCCACTCTTGAGCTGAAAGGAGAATGTTCTGTTTCTTTTTTCTTTGAAGCATGAGTCTAATGTGAACCTGTTCAGTCTGTTGTGGAGCAAGATATGTTCCCTTCATAACTGCAATGGCTCAAATACCGTTTATTTTTTTCAAACATTAAAGGTGAATTGACACATTTCAACAGCCTCCAGTTTCTTCATTGCTAGCTGTCCAAAGCAAAAGATCACATTTGTGCAGAGTAAGGGAGCTGTGAGTTGTCTGGCCTGGAAGATGACCCACAGGAGGCAGGTTCACAGGGGAGAAATGACGTGCGCAGCAATGTCCCCTCTGCTGGCACTGGCCTCCAGCTTGGCTCAAACACCAGCTCAAACAGACGGGTCCCAGGGTGAGTATCCGACCACAGCCATGCCGGGATGCTCTTGTGCTGAGGATCCAGGATATGAAGGTATTGGGAATGGCCTCCTAATGACTTCAGAACTTCCTTGGTACAGTGGCTAAGATCCTGGCCCCTTTGTGTGCTCAAAGGTGTCTCCTGCTTTGCAGGGAAGTAGATTGTCCCTTGGTGCATCCTCCCTGAGCCTGGTAAACAAGGTGAGATCTGAAATGGTTCCTAGTTGCCTGGAGCCCATGTGTTTATCCCTGCACCTCCCCGAGGGAGGTGGGCTTGCCCCACACCACCCCCCATCCTCTCAATACCTTCACTGGGGCTTGTAGCCCCTGCAAGTTTTGGGAAAGCTGCTCTGGGCTCTTCTCTATGGCAGAGTACAACTGTGCTGCAGGACAGCAGCGTCTCAGGGGAAATAAGGGGGGACTGTGGCCAAGAGCATAACAGTATCAAGCACCTATAAATGGGGCTAACTCCCAAAGCAGTAGTACTATGGCTGCTCCACGCAGCCAGCCTAACTTGCACCTTATGCTGCTGAAAAGCAGAGGTGGTTTCTACTTTGGGAGGAGCTGGGAGTGACACTCCTCCTCTTCTCTCCAAATAGTCCCAGCAAACCTCATGCTTGTAAGCGTAGTCGCATGGATTAGGATACAGCCAGGCTGTGCTGAGGCACTGCATTCCTGGCATGGCTAAGGCTGATTTCATGCTGCTGCTCCCGGGAAAACATTGCAGCCTCTGTATCTGGAGTAGTTAAGCCCTCCTGGTGCATGGTGCTTTTGGTGAAAGCAGAAGATGTAAACTGGCTCACAAATGTCAGCAGGAGTACAGGAGGCTGCTAATCCAAATTTGAGACAAAAACCTCTTCTACTACTAGTTGTGTCTGTTGGCAACCACCCGTTTTAATCACATATAACTGTATCTAGTGATTATAGTGCTGGTGTGAATCCGCGTGGAGCAGTGAGCGGAGGACCTGCCGGTGCCTGGAGGGAGCGCATTCCCTGGAACCGCCTCAGGCAAGTAGCAAGTGGGTCCGTTGCTTCCCTGCGTGCATCACTGCAACAGCGGTGCCAGCTCCAGGCTGAGGGCAAAGACCTCGAGCTCACACCTTCAGCAATGGGGCAGTGAAACTGAGCCCTGCTCACCTGCCTGTAACCCGTGCAACGGACACGGGCCCTTTGTGTCCTCAGCCCTCCTTATAAATGATGTATTGCGTGGCTCTGGGGGCTGCAAGCGGCCTAAAGCCAAGCAGCAGTTCTCCCTGCGTGGCTGCGAGCAGGGGAGGCTCTGCACGGAGCGCTCTGCCCTTCCCAGCGCGCTGCCCAGCAGCTGCCTGATGGTTTTTGGCTTTGACTTCTTCCATTGCGGGGCTCTGCTTTTGTCTCCCATTTCCAGCGCGTGCAGGTGTTCTGCATTAGGACTTGGAGCATTAACTGTTTCTCTGCTGAGGAGGTTACAGTCCCCAGAATTCCTGCTTAGCTTCACTGGAAGAAGGAAACTATTTTGAAACATCTGTGTCTGGCATGCTGAATGGAAGGTATGTATCTGCGGGCGAAACAGCTGGAGAAAGAAATTGCTTCCAGATGTCTTCAGGCAAAAGTGCTATTTAAATGCAAATACCATGTACTGTTACTGTCCTGTTTTACCAGCATTCTGAAAGCGTTTAATTGGAGCGAAGTCCGAGATAACAGCAGATAATTCTGCTGTTTGCGAATAGGGCTTTAAATGCGCCATGGTGTTTAGTGCTGCGTGTGTTCATCTGCCGTGCTTAACAGTGCGGTTCACGACTCGGTGGGAATGTTGCATTATTTTCTCTTTTACGGGCCAAGTTATTCAATTTTTCATGCAGAATATTTCTTCCAGATGTGCCCTGACAAAAGCAAAGGTATACGAAACTGCAGAGCACGTAGGCTGCATTTGGTAGCTTTGTTCCATGTGTGTAATTATTAGTCATTATGTAGGGTTCCCTCTACCAAGAAGGGAACGCGGGGGGCGGTGACGTTTGTTTATTTGCTTGCTTGCTCACTGCTCACTGCCACGGTGTTATTTCCCCCTGTGGCTTAGAGAAGGGACACGGCGACTGCTGATGTGGACTGGGGAGCAGCAGGGCTTCATGTTGGGGCTCCCTCTTCCTTCTGTGCCCCAACGTACCTGTGTGGCACCCTCGTTTCTATTGTCAATCTTTTCCAAGCTTGAGGAAGTCGTATTCACCTCTGAGTGCTCCTTCCTGTGCCCAAAGAACATGTTCCTTCTTGCAGCATTTTTGTGGGAGGCTTGAGATGAAAAGAGGAAACATGGAAAGCATTTTTGTTCTGCTTTCAGTCTCTGACCGGTAAATCCTCGGGAAGGCAGTGCACTTTGAGGGAAGCAGGGCTGCCGTCGCTGCCCACACGAGGCTTCCCTGGGTTTTGTTCTATTTATTGAGTGGTGCTTCTGACACCTTTACCCAGACTGTGACTCATTGCAACAATGTCTATGTATGAGCCACAGTTCCCAGAGCGCTTTATAGATACAGCAGCAGAGGAGCCAACTGTGTTTATAAAAAGAGGATCAGATGTTTCCTCCCTTAGGGCAGTGTCTTGCTGAGGCTGAGTAATAACTCATTACCAACGGGACAAATAACTGCAGCTCATCAGCTCAGCGGCTTCGTCAGCCCGTCCTGCGTGGGGTCCTGGGCTCCGCGTTCATGGGCAGGCGGCTCTGCGTCAACATCAGGGTCTGGGCTCGAGCACAGGCAGGGAGCTCCTGCCTCTCCTCCGCGCGAGCCCCTTTGCGGGGCAGAGCACTGCAGCGGTGCTGCCTCTTGCCGTGCTGAAATGCTGGGGCCTGGGTTTCCTCAGCGCAGAGAAATGGTGCATTAGGGAGCGGAGGAGCACGGGGATTGCTGTAAAAGCAGAACACAGTCTAGACCGCGTCTTAAAACGTCCATCAGGCCCTTATCGACCTGTGTCCAGCTTGCCCTAGGCAGCCTCCAGGTGGATTTTGCTTGTGTTTTTTTTTTTAAGCATCGAGCTTTTCCCTTTTTGTGTAAAGTGATGCAGGCTGTCGCATGGCGGGTGCAGCCTGGGAAGGATCATTCCACGCTTTCCTGATGCCTGCTGGGACTGGGACTTGCCAGGCTCCTGCTCTGCTCCCTGGCCCTCCCCTGCCTGCATCCAACCTTGGTAGGTGCAACACCAGGCTCTGCTCTGCTGCCCAGCAGGGTTTGGCCCTGGATTAACTTTAAAGGGAGGTTTTACCAAGCCCCAACATAACTCATTTTTCCCTTTCCCATGGAAGGAGCTCGTTTTAGTGGCTTTGTGCTCCCTGTCTTTTTGTCCTTAGAGCAAAGGCCCTGGCT